AGAAAAAGAAGAATAAAACAAGAAAACCTGTAATAGAAAAATGGGGTTAACCATGAGAAGAAAAAAAAAAATTTGCAACCAGGAACAGGGAAAAGAAAATAAGCTGCAAACTAGGACCTTGGAGGGGAAGAATAAAAAATAATAGTAAAAAGGACAAATGTAGTAATAATTATAATAGTTTCAAAGCAGACAAAAACAAGCAAACTAATAACCAGAAAAAAGAAAGAGAAAAAGAAAAAGAAAAAAAATCGAGGGGAGGGCAGGGCAGGTCACCCAGGCTCCATCAGAGCACACAGACTGGGACGGAGTTCCTGTGGGCCCAGAAGGTGGGTGAGAGTCGGGGAGGGCCACACCTCCCTTCATCAAGTGGGTGTGGAATATAAGAATAACAAGGGGAATGTCGCACCTTTTCAGTCATGTAGGTCCAGATTTTCCTTGGGGTTACTGGCAAGCAGAATCTGTTCTTAAGCCCCTGGAATCCGGGACCGCTGTCTCTTTAAGTATTCAAAATGGGCAAGCCGCTTGTAAACATTCGAAATGGCTGCACCCTCTGGACAGGCAAAAGTCCACAGATCAGCCCGCCTTTCTCTTCACTGCTTCCCGTTTTATTCCCCAGCCACCAGAGCAGTCCTCCTTGCAGTCCCCTGGCTAGCAGGGCTGATTTTTAGGTTAATTCTTAGGTCCTACCAGACTCGGCACTCTCCATGCCATCTGTACCATGCCATCAGGATCACTGCCAGACCACAGCTCCGTCTGTCTCCTTTTTGGTATTTTCATGCAAATTCTTCTGCTAGTTGGGGTTTAGTCCACTTCTATATCCTTCTCTTCAAGGCTCAAGGGTCCAGGATTATCTTCTGTGTCTGTGTTAATTAGTTCCCCTTTTTTTTGTTGAAGAGGGTCTGTGCAGTCTTTCTGCCTAATCCCCCATCTACTACCTGGTTATATAGGCTTTGTACATCACTGATTATGAACATTTGTAAGTAAGGATATTCTCCTCTAAAATAGTTTTTTTAAAACTGGATTTTCTTTTTTTTTTTTGCTAGGTAAGGGAGTGTTTAATAGAACTCACCTATAAAAACTTTGCATCTGGGTCTTTACTTTTCTTTGTGGGAAGATTTGACTACAGAATGATTTTTTTTTTTTTTTTTTAATGTTTGTAGATCTATTCATATTTTGTTTCTCATTCTTGAATCAGTTAGCTAAGTTATATTTTTCTATTCAATTATGTTGTCAAAAAAATTGCCATGAATTATTTCATAATACCCTCTTTTCCAGCCCTCCTTTTCATTTCTGACATTAGTAATTTGTGCCAATATCTTTACCGCAAGCCCTCCCTCCTCATTTTTCTTGATCAGTCATACTAGATGTGTGGTGTTTTTATTAGAGTAAATCATATAAAATTACCAGTGTGAGACTTACAAATACAGCATTAATGTACAAAAACAGCAATGTAAATAATCTCCACTTACTTTTAGTCTTTCCAGAGAACTGACTTTTGGATTTGATTCTGTGAATAGTTTCTTTCCTACATTAATTATTGCTTTATTCTCTGGCTTTCTTTTTTAATTTTCTTACTGATACTTTATTTTCAGCCTCTCATACCCAAAAGCCACTGCAATTGAGTCGATTTCAACTCATAGTGACCCACATTGTGTTTCTAAGGCTGTGAATCTTTATAGAAGTAGATTGCCTCATCTTCCTCCCACAGAGCAGCTGGTGGGTTCAGTCTTCTGGTTAGCAGACAAATGCCTTAACCAGTATTACTACCAGAGCTTACCCTCTCATAATATATGTATTTAAAGCTGTAAATTTCTTGTTACTAGTCATGTCAAAATATTTTCAAAGTTTTTCTTATGATGCCTTTTTTTTGACCTAAGAGTTGTTTATAAGTGAATTAGACATCTCCCTAAGGCACTTGACTGCTCACCAGAAGCCTGGTGGTTCAAACCCACCAGCCACTCCTTGGAAGGAAGGTTGGGCAATCCTACTTCCGTAGTGATACTGCCTCGGAAACCCAAGGAGGGGTCGCTATGAGTCGGGGCCGACTCGACGGCAAACAACAACAACAACAGTGGTACAGTAATTAAAGCATTCGGCTGGTAACCCACAGGTCACTGGCTTGAACCCACTAATTGCTCCAAGGGTGAAAGATATGGCAGTCTTCCATAAAAATTACAGAGCCTTGGAAACCCTATAGGGCAATTCTTCTCTGTCCTACAGGGTCGCCAAGTCAAAATCAACTTGACAGTAATGGGTTTGGTTTCATTTGGTATGATGATACTTGCTTAGTAATGTCCCAGCATGTACTCACTTTATGAAAATATTCCTTATGTGTTTTTAAATTCATTATCCACTAATGAATGCCTTCCTTGACTCTTGTCACCATACATGTTGACACCACACACCCATCCTGAGACTCCCCAGCAGCTGCCACTCCAAGCTGGGCCAACATTATCCTCTGTCCCCTAGAAAACATATAATTTAATGTCTCCACAGAGGACAGATCAACCCAGATGGTGGGGTTGGTAATTTTTCATGTTTTTGTATTATTTTTAGATATTTCCAGTAGGACAGTCATGACAATTAGCTTTCTGTATTTGTTGTTGTTAGTTTCTGTTGAGTAAATTCTAATTCATGGTGACCTAATGTGTGCAGAGTAAAACTGCTCCATAGTGTTTTCAAGGCTGTGACCCTTTGTAAGCAGACCACCAGGCCTGCCTCCTGAGACGCCAACCTTCGGCCAGTAGTTGAACTCTTACCATTTGCACCACCCAGGAATTCTGCTTTCTATGATACTGAAGGGGAAGTAGACATTATTCTTTCTTCTGACTCCAATGGAAATTTCATTTTATCTTGGTAACACTTAAAAGGGGCTCACGATTCTCATGAGCATAAGATCATGCATCTTAGTATTTAACTGAAGTTCTTTCTGAAATTTAAGCCAATTTTCCTGTTCCAGTATTTGGTGAAATATTTGTTGGCCACTAATTGTGAAAAAAGTTTCTTAACAAGAATGACTTACTACATTTGGTGGCGGGATGGCTGATCAGTGCCATGTAAATAGCACCCCACAAGGTGACTGCATGAAATGAGGGAGTCTCCATCACTACCTTGGCAGTTGTTCACCTTTGCCTCTCTTTTCCCTTAATCTTGAAGAGACTCAGTGGTGCCTAAAGGATTACAACTGCTGGGGGAAGCAGAGTGCAATGGAAAATCAGATCACCATTTCTGGTATTGTCACGCAGTGATTAGAGAACATTGTTTCTGAAACGTAATCCACCCCAAAACCAAAACCAAACACATTACTGAGTTGCTTCTGACTCATGGTGATCCCATGGGTTACAGAGTAGACTTGCGCTCCATAGGATTTTCTTGGCTGTATTCTTTACGGAAATAGATTGCCAGGCCTTTCCTCTGTGAAGCTGCTGAGTTGGGTTTAAACCACTATCCTTTAGATTCCAAAAAAAAAAAAACAAAGTCACTGCCATCAAGTTGAATAGAACTCACAAAGAACTCCACTGGGTTTCTGGGGCTATAAATCTTTACAGAAGCAGACTACATCATCTTTCTTCCTCAGAGCAGCTGGTAGTTTTGAACCACCAAATTTTTGGTTAGCAGCCAGCTATCTTAACAACTACATCACCAGAGCTCTTTAACCTTTAGATTAGCAGCTGCTAATCTAGATGACTGTAAACTGTTCCTAATCCACATCACCCCATCAGAATTACCCAGAATGCTTGTTAAGAATGTAAATTCCTTTACTTCCACTCCAGGATGGTTAATAATCTGAACTTTTAATATTCTGAGATGATTTTGTTCCTTAAAGTTGGCAAACTTTCTTCTCACATTTCCTTCTTTTATATACCATTTTATCTGCCCATTCAACATGATGTATTATTCTTAGTTATGTCATTGTTTTGTTTTGTTTTTTTTTACTTTCATAGGAAGAAAGTTTGTAACTGATGACTCAGTCTGTGTGCTAGGAATAAGCAAAAGAAACCTTATTTTCCAACCAGTGGCAGAGCTAAAGAAGCACACGGATTTCGAGTAAGTAAATAAAACATTCTAAGTCTTATTGCTGTTAGAGGGAATAATGGGAAGCATGAACCATTCAGGGTCTGTAATATGGTAGTTACTTAAAATAACTCACTTAAGTATTCTAAGTAGCTAACACATTAGCTTTTCTGAAGTTAAAAAATACTAGACCTTTTGAAATGAGGCAGAATGTTTTGAAATCTAAACAGAATGGTTTCTGTTCACCTGTGGAAATTGCTTTGTCATACAGAATTTATTTAGCTAACTCCACAGAGGCCATTTTCTCCATGACAGAGCCTAGACTATTAAATGTTAGTCATGGTAGTACGGGGGCAGACAAAACTTGTCTTACAGCAACACGTATAATCCCTTCTGATAATTTTTCTTCCTACACAGGCACAGAATTCCCAAAGAACAGTGGTGGTTGAAACTGCGGCCTGTAATGAAAATTTTAGCTAAGTACAAAGCAAGTTATGATGTATCTGATTCAGGCCAGCTCGAGCACGTGCACTGCCGTCCCCAAGAGGAATCTGTAGGGATTTAAACACCCACATGTTCATCCTTACACCAAAGCTATACTGTATGTCTAGTGAGACTTTAGAACTTAATGTTCATTGATCTTTTTTGTAATGTTTAAGTTATTTATCAGCACTTTATGCAAGTATTGCTGGCCAAGTATTATTCACATAAATATCTAATTAGAAAGCACCAGTCACCAATATCCATATTCTGATATAATCATAAAAAATAAAACATTGCATATACTCAATTTACAAGTTGTCCATTGGTCTTTGTCTCTGTGTCATGCTTTAAACTGTGTGTATCTAGTAGAATTAAATATTTGGCTAAACTTCCAACCAGAGACAGGAAAAGATGCTCAGCATCATTAGCCATCAGAGAGATGCAAATGAAAACCACAATGAGAGACCATTTCATTCCCACTAGGATGGTTATGATTTTTTTTTTTTTTTTTAAACACAGAAAATAACAAACGTTGATGATGATAAAAATGTGGGAAAACTGGAACCCTTATCCATTGCTGGTGGGAATGCAAAATGGTATAGCTATTGTGGTAAACAGTATGGTGGTTACTAAAAAAAATTAGAAATAGTACTACCATATAACCCAGTGATTCTACTCCTTTGGCATATACCCAAGATACTTGAAAGCAAAGATTCAAAGAGATTTGTATACCAGTGTTCATTGTGGCACTAGTCACAATAGCCAAAAGGTAGAAACAACCTAAATACTCATCAACAAATGCACATATAAACAAAATGTGGTACGTATATACAATGGAAAACTACTCAGCCAATAGAAGAAAATGAAGTCTTGATACATGCTGCTGTGGATGGAGCTTGAAGACATGCTGAGTGAAATAAGCCAATCACAAAACCATCTGTCTGGAATCAAAGTGTTAACAGCCACTCCAATGATATTAGATAGGAACATTAGAGGGCAGTGAGTTTATATGAATGAGGAATGACTCCGAAAAGAGAGCAAGAATGGTTACATAACTTGAAGATTGTAATGTCACTAAATTTTACGTATAGAAACTGTTGAATTGGTCTATGTTTTGAAGTGTATATTCTCAACAACAGAATAAAATTTAGAAAAACAAAAAAACTCTGTGGAGCACAGTTCTACTCTGATACACGAGATCAACGTGAGTAGGGTTGATGGCAATTGGCTTTCAGTCCCATACAAGAGCTAATATACTAGATCAGGAAAAATGGATTTTTGGCCCTGGCTGTACCACCAATTGAGCTAGGCTATTTAACTCCAGCCTCACTTTCTCTTTTTAAAGTTATACAAGGGGTAGAATTCAAAAATAAAAAAAATATGAACATATGCCTTAATAATAATGGAATCTCATACACATTTGATTTCAATCCTAGCTATACCAGGGGGAGTTCTTAATTCTGATACATAGGTTCTCCTTTAGACCAATTAATTTACACTCTCTGGAGCTGGGACATGGATTAACCTTGCCAGATGATTCTAACACGTAGCCAGAGCCACTGATCATCAGCTGTTTTAGATTTTGGCTACATCACAATTTGAGGGGAAGAGATTATAGTCTGTCTACAAGAAATTACAGATAGGGAAAGGAAGCTAGATGGTAGCCATTTTCTTTGAGGGTAGTTAAGAGGAAAATAACCTCAGCAGATGAGTTTTTGCAGTTCAAAAGAATTTTGGTTCTTTTCTCCACAGTCTGTTCTCAGGTATAGTCATCAAAATAACATCCAACCATCTTTATGCCAGAAATGGAAAAAAAGAGGGGGGGGGGGCTACAAAGAACATATATGATTAAAAGTAACTTTTATTTAGGAAATCTGGGGGCAAAATGATAGCAGGAGAACTAGCACTAAGAAGGTTTTTTGTCTGAAAAATTCAAGGTAGAAGATAAAAAACAGATCTCTTAAATAATGAAAAAAAAAAAACTGATAAGCTTATGTTAATACTTAGGCAAAATGAATCCAAAACATACTTAGTTCTTCAAAGATAGTACTATAAACAGGAGTTCCTCAAACTTCTTTCTGTAAGGCTGCCTTGTTCAACTTGTATCTGTTACAGAGACTTTTCCAAAGGTCTTTGCTGTGACCATACATTTTTATAAATAAAGTGCTCTGGAATAGCTTTGTTCATTCATTTTATTCATTTTTAAATAAAGGCACTAAAAATACTATTTTAGCAAAATGTTATTTAAAATAATGAATAAAACAGGTCACACTTGCCTTTTATCTTTTAAATTTTTGAAATAATATGTTCTAGGGTTGATAAAATAACCATTTACATCACAAGAAAGTTTTAAAATTATAATCTGTCCATCTTTGGCATTTTAACACATGATAATTTCAATTAAAGCATTTTTTTTGTGGTCACTGTATTTTCTCCTCCTTTTAAGATGGAAGAGTTTTGGTTTGACTTGCAGAAGTTTAAGATTGGTATATGATCAAGATTTTTCCAAAAACCAATAAAAGCTCTGCTCTTTCAGTTTAAAGACTAGAGGCTTAGTTATCTTATTATCCATGATGGATCTTTAGCAATTTTTACATTCTCTGGTCCAAGTATAGCCAACCCATGTGTGCACTTCCCAATGCCAAGGTACCTGAAAAGAAGGAAGGGACAATGAATTAGTACTATTTCCTACATTAAGAACTTTTGTTCCTAAGTAAGTACATTAAAGCCACACCATGTATACTCACTTATTGCTGACATCGATAAGTCTGTCATGGCTAACAGCAAAGAGTTGTTCCCTATGTGTCTGCTTCATCTTGTCAGAGAGCCCATACAAGAAGTGATCCATACCTAAAAGTTAAATCAAGGCACAAATGGAGTAGTTGCCTAGAGTGATGACATACAGCAGCAAATTCTTGTACAGACACCATGCTTGGGATACTGACATTGTTACATGGATACTTTATTCATATATTCCAACAAAAGAGAAATATTTAGTCTTACATAAGTTCAAATTAAGCTTTATTTTCTCTTATTCCATCTTTACCCCATCTGTCTCACTGATTCCTCAGTATTGATCCCTAGTTTTAAAGAAAGAAGAAGAAGGAAGGGTCACATAAGGTTGATATAAGCAAAAGTGACTTTATATGTAATGTGGCCATTCATGTGCCATGTCAAAATGATCTTCAACCCTAACTAGCTTTGGGTAAATCATTTAACCTCTCTAGGACTTGGATCACTTAGGCTCTGGCAAATACCAATATGTCTGTGCCTGGGTGTTTGTCTAAAATAAAAACTATGTCACAGATTAGATTTTCAAGGTCAGTGTTTAGGTTGTCAAATACGAAAATCATAAAGGAAAGGATAGAGATGGGGGAAAAAAACTCAAATAGTTTAAAATGATAGAGTTGCTGCTTTTGGTCCACATGTGCAAAGAAGCAAATCTTTCATTTGCTTGGCAAAAATCACTCAGAAAACTAAAGTTTTGTGAAATTCTGTCTGGTAATATGATTTGTCAAGTTTCTCTTTATTATTTACTCAAAATACCTTTGTCTGAAGGAGCAACGGGAGCATCAACAGCTGAGAACACTGAAAGTTTTGCTTCATCAATGTCTTGTTGTGTGAATTTTCCAGATTTGGCCCAGTCAACAGCTTTCCCAAAGGACTGGAGAGTTTCTATTGAGTTTGGATCCCTAGAAAGTCCAAAAAGTTAAATATTCAAACATTTTGCCTACAGGAAAGAAAACACAGTAGTATGTTGACTCAACAGTCCCTCATCATCTTCTCATTTGGGCTCTCTTTTAATGCTTCACTGTCCAAAGAGCCCACTGATACAAATCAGTTCCAATAAGTAAAAATTACATCTTACCACATAAACTATTCAATATATCCCTCTACCAAGGGACACAGTCTATCTGCCTAACTTAGTCACTAGATGACTTCAATACATTCTGTTGAGACATGGATGAGGGGAAGCCTAGAATCCAATAAAATTAAGGGACGGCTCATGGGTTGCTATGAGTTGGAATCAACAGCATGCACCACATGTAGAAAAGTTAAGAAAAGATTACATGAAAACCAAGTTTTCACTTCCATAAGATATATCCAGAAAAATCTAGAAATTATGTACAGTTCGACCATTTTTTGAGATACTTTACTTTGTCTAACTGGAAAGAGCGCTTTCTTAGGTGCTTACTCATATTAATTTAGTACTAAATATGTCTTATTGTAGAGACTTACAGAAGGGGTCATACTTTTATTTTTATATCTTTATGTAAAAGCAAAGTTCCCCACACAAACAGATTCACTAAGTATTAGTCAATTGCAAAGGGAGAATTGCATCAGAGTGGCAACAAATAATCCATCCCTTTCCTTAGAGTGTGAAAATACATTTCAGGAAGTAATACTCTAAATAAAATTAATAATTACTCTAAATAAAAGAGTAAGTAAAAGTCTTGTGGCTATAAAAACTTAATAATACCCACAAAGGTCACTATAATTAAAATTAGCCAAGAACACTCTCAGAATGTCTTCTACTTAAATATGTTAAAAATCCAACTTAGATTTATATGAGGCATAATGTTTCATGTTACATAGCTCTGTCCCATAAACCTAGTAACAGAAAGGAATTGCTGGCTGTGGTTTGGAGCTTAAGAATTGATGGGGAAAAAAAGAGTGAAAACAATCTTTTTCTAAATCTACCTAAGATATAAGATAATGACATTCTAATAATTAGTACAGCAAATGACTATGAGTGAAATTGTATGTGTGTGTATGTATATACAGAGGGAAAAGTTTACCTGTAAGAGTAAAAAGTGAATATTCCAGTATGGCTGAGTTTAGCACCTCCACCATAAGCACCACCTTTTTCTCGAATTTCTGTATGTAAGAATTTAGTAGTCATCAAACGTGCAAGGATCTTAAGACTGAAATTAATGATTAAAAAATGCAAGTTAAAAAATATGACTGATAGGGAAATTATTATATAATAATCCAAATAAAAGTAGAAAATATAATTAAGTGAAAACAAAACAAAGTTGTAAAGTAATGTATACCTTATGGTCCCATTCTTTCATTTTAAGGAGCTCTGGTAGCTTAGTGCCTAAGGCACTTGACTGCTAACCAAAAGGCTGGTGGTTCAAACCCACCAGCCACTCCTCAGAAGGAAGATGGGGCAATCTACTTCCATAGTGATATTGCCTCAGAAACCCAAGGAGGGGTTGCTATGATTTGGGTCTGACTCGACGGCATATAACAACAACAACAACACATGCATTTTTTAAATACAAAAAACAACACGTACTTTTTATTGCTAAGGCAAATGTATGACCATTAATTTATATGCCTCATATCAGAAAATGGAGTGGAAGGAGGGAACTAATATAAATCTTTTTGGCCTGACTTTTATACATATCCCTCCCTGTATTAATTTCTATAAATGAAGCCTAGTTTCTGCTGACTTCCACTATGAATTACAATGTCTGTTCCTGTGGAAGAGAATAAGGATGGCTCTAGAAATCATCTCCATATGGCAGAAGATAGAACAGAAAGATATTCCAACACTGCTACACAACTAAGCAATGGCTGGGTAATGTTCAGTGGGAAGGATACAGATTTGGAATGTCTACACTAAGCACTCAGGTACAAATCACCATTACCTTCTGACTGCACTTATTCTACAGTTGAAGAAAATGAAATAGGCCAAATTTGAAACTAAATGAAGGAATGAACATAAGCATGCTCATAAAGATCATGATGGGAAAAAAAAGCCATCCTATTTTGAGTCAGTACAAACACAGAGCACCGAGATCACAAGGTTTCATTTTGATACTTTGGTTTTTATTGAGATAGTTGGAAATTAATAGAAAGTAAGAATGACAACCCACTGAGGTCAGATGTCTGTGAAGAATGGTGCTTCCAGACTTGCCAATGAAGACATAGTTTTCACATGTTTATATATTTTTCTTAAAACTTTTCTATTATGTTACCATAAGAAATACATGTTGAAAACTACAAGACATAAAATGAGGGAAAAATATTTCTTAACTCCACTCCCCAAAAGGTTACCACCTATAACATTTTAGTGTTTAAAATCTACATTTTTCTACTCAGTACTAGACATCCTTTCCCTTCTCTCGTGGTTTGGATTCTTATGTCTTGTGTGCTGTGTATTTCTTAGTTTAATCCCTTATGAGGGTAAGGCTTGTTCCTCAGTAGCTTCCTGAGACAGGGTACACAAGAGGTATACTTTTGGGGACATTTAATGTCTGCAATTATCTTCATCCTACTTGCACACTAATTGATGGCACCAATGGGTGCAGAACTCTGTCCACTGGACATGATTTTCCTTTAGAATTTTGTAAGCATTGATTTATTTTCTTCAATTATCCAGTTTCGGTATTAAGAAGGCTATTACCATTGATATTTTGTAAGTGACCTACTTTTGCTCAGAAAACTTATAAAATGTTTCTGTTATCTATGATGCTCTGAATTTTCTCCATAAGGTACCTGGATATATATCTTTCTTTCTTTATCATACAGAACACTTAATGAGCCCTTTCAGTCTAGAAACTTATGCACATTTCTTTTGGCAAATGTTCTGGTACTTTCTTCTGTGCTAATTTATGCCTCCTCATTTTTTCAATTCTTTTTCTGGAAATCTTACTATTGGTTATTGGATATCAGCACTGATCCTCCGTTTTTCCTTTGCTTTTCTCCATTTTCCATTTTTTTTTAATACCTTTTGTTTTTGTTAGGAGCTCTGGTGGCACAGTTGTTAAAGAATTCAACTGCTATGCAAAAGATCAGCAGTTCGAACCCACCAGCCACTCCACGGAAGAAACATGAGGCAATCTGATTCCATAAAGATTTAGAACTTTGGGAACCCTCTGAGGCTGCTGTATTGTGTCTTACAGGGTCTGCAAGAGTCAGAACTGACTCAGTGGCATCGGGCTAGTGGAGCTGTTGTTGTTTAGGTTTCAAGTTGGATCCAACTCATAGTGACCCTATGAATGAAACACTGCCCGGTCATGTTCCATCCTCATAATCATTTCTATTCTTGACCCCACTGTCACAGCCACTGTGTCAATCATTGAGGGTCTTCCTCTTTTTTGCTCACCCGCTACTTCACCAAGCATGATATCCTTCTCCAGCGACTGAGTCCTCCTGATTACAGGACCAAAATATGAGAGATTAAGTCTGGGCATTCTCGCTCCTACAGAGCATTGTGGGTTTACTGCTTCCAAGACAAATTTGTTTGTTTTTCTGGCAGTCCATGGTATTTTCATTATTCTTCACCAACACAATTTAAGTGCATCAATTCTTCTTTAGTCTTCCTTATTCACTGTCCAGTTCTCATGTGCCTATGAGGCAACTGAAAATACCATGGCTTGGGTAAGGCACACACACCTTAGTTTTCAAAGGGACATCTCTGCTCTGTAACACTTTAAAGAGGTCTTTTGCAGCAGATTTGTCCAATGACATTCATTGTTTGATTTCTTGACTGCTGCTTCCATTATTGATTGTGGATCCAAAAATAAAATCCTTTACAACATCAATCTTTTTTTCCATTCACAATGACTTTGCTTAATTGGTCCAGTTGTGAGGATTTTTTGTTTCATGTTCAAGCAAGGTGATATCATCTTTATATTGCAGATTATTGAGTCTTCCTCAAATCCTGATGCTGCATTCTTCTTCATGTAGGTCAGCATCTCGAATTATTTGCTCAACATACTCAGACTGCTAAGATTGAATAAGTATGGTGAAAAGGTATGACCCTGACACACACCTTTCTTCATTTTTAACCAGGCAGTATCCTCTTGTTCTGTTCAAACAACTGCCTCTTGGTCTTATGTACAGGTTCCTCATGGGCACAATTAAGTGTACTGGAATTGTCATTCTTCACACTATTATCCATAACTTGCTATGATCCACACAGTCAAATGCTTTTATATCATCAATAAAAGACAGGTAAACATCTTTCTGCTATTTTCTGCTTTCAGCCAAGATCGATCTGACATTAGCAATGATACCCCTTATTTCACATCCTCTTCTGAATCCAGCTTGCATTTTTGGTAGTTTCTTAATTGATGTACTGCTGCAACAATTTTTTTTTTAATTTTCTGCAAAATTTTACTTGTGTGTGATATTAATGATGTTGTTTGATATTTTCTGCACTCTGTTGGATCACCTTTCTTTGGAAAGGGCACTAATATGGATCTCTTCCAGTCAACTGGCCAGGTAGCTGTCATCCAAATTTCTTGGCATAGATGAGTGAGTGCCTCAAAGAAACTGACTTAATTGAAACTGAACTGAACAGACAAGAGTTGAGCTATCAAAGCATGCTAAAAGTAGCTGTCTTATAAATTCATTGGCACAGATGAGTGAGCACTTCTAGCATTGCATCTATTTGCTGAAACATCTCAATAGGTATTCTGTTAATTCCTGGAACCTTGTTTGTCACCAATTTCTTCAGTGCAGCTTGGACTTCTTCTTTTAATACCATCGGTTCTTGATCACATGCTACCTCTGAAATGGCTGAAGGTCAACCAATTCTTTTTGGTGCAATGCCTCTGTGCATTCTTTCCATCTTCCTTTAAATCTTCCCATATCATTCAACATTTTGTCCATTGACTCCTTCAAGATTGCAACTTGAGGCTTGAATTTTTTTCTTTAGTTCTTCCAGCTTGAGAAATGCTGAGTCTGTTCTTCCCTTTTGATTTTCTCACTCTGGGTCCAATGAAAGTATTCCATTGTAATACTTTACTTTGTCTTCGCAAGCCACCCTCTGAAATCTTTTCAGCTCTTTTATTTCATTCTTATAGGAAAGGGAATTTTCTTAAGTGTACCTTCCCAACCTGCTGTTCATGGTTTTTGTTTCAACTATCTTATGTTCTACACATACAAATACACACTTTCACATGACATACATGTTGTTTTTGATCCCTGTAACCAAAAGGATATTGCAAAACCTATTTTCTAATATTTCCCTTATCCTACTGCTTCATTTTATTTTGTATATTACCTGTAAAACTATCTTCAAATGGCTGGCAGCCTTTGGCAATCTGTTCATATACAGCAGCAAGGCACTAAAATTCGACTGGAAACCACACAAACTTAAGAACTGGTAGGTCTCGTGATGAGTCTGACATAGGGGCACACCCTTTTAATTAGGGAATACTGAAAGGTCTGTCTCTGTAGGTCTTTTCTCTTGGTCTGACCAGTTTCCCCAGATAGGAAAGGACTAGCTAGGCCTGACAGCCACAATTCTGGGAGCTAATCAGAGGAAGGGGTTGGGAAGCTCTCACTCTTCTGGCTGCACACTTTGACAGATCCTATTTTTTCAGTAACATACATAGGTCCTGTGGCTCAATCCAAAGCCTCTATTCTAAGTTTCAAAGATGCTGGTGGCAGACTTAACCTCATATTTCTTATAGTAACTTTCAAAAAATTCTTTAATTTCCAGCCCACCCCACATCCTGCTTTCACATCTTTTCTTTGTCTCCAATAATTATGCTTTATAGGCCTTTGGAGTACAAACTGGCTTTCTTTTTGTCTTATCCTTTTGCAGTTTCTTACTGGGAGAGAGAAAGCTATTTGTCCATCCACTTTCCATCTTTAAAAATTTTTCTGCAACTCTTACATTTTTTTAATCTTTTTTCCTCATGGTTTCATGCCTTTTGTACTACTTTATTGTCATTTTAGTGGGGTATGAGAGAGTTCAAATATAAGCATGTGGGCTCAATATGCCATGTTTAACAGAAGTCTCAAGTTTTACTCTAAGCAATTTTTTCTTGTAAGTGAGAGAAGTTAATTGGGCATTTTAAAGGACTTTGTATTTAAGTGCATGGATATCTATTTTACTTACAGGACTGCTCAGAAGGGTATAAATTGTTTGGGAAAAATAACTAGTAATAAAGTTAGCAGTGTGTTCATAAAGATTTTATTGTTTTAAAGAATATTCAGGATCTATCTGACAGAGCCGGGTGGAACCACTGAGGCTATGGCCCCTAGCTGCCCTTCAGGTCTGGAATCGAACCCACACCTGTGGTTTCCAGCCAAACAAAAGATAGGCATAATTTACCTCAAGTAGATACACTCCTTTGAGAGAACAATCATGGGAGAAAGAAGGGCTGCTTATGCACAGGGAGACATCTCAGGGGACAGGAGCCCATGGAGGGATGGACACTGAGAAGAGGTAACTGTGGGGAGGAGGTAGGAGGGGAGCTGTTGCATTGTGGTAAACTGTGGTCAATGACATGAGACAAAGTATATATGAACTACTGTATGGAAAGTGAATTTGCTCTGTAAATCTTCACCCAAATCACAATTAAAAAAAAAAAAGAATATTCAGGATCTATATTTCAGCTTTTCTATACATGTGCTCTGTTAAAACTGGATACTGTCTAGGGATCTAGACTCTACAAATGATAAGAGCAATATCATAATGGCATAGGCGTTCAAAATTTAAAGTAAACAAAAAAAGTTCTGTTAAGCAAAACATACCTTATTATGTTCTAATGTGTCATATAGGAGGAGCTCTGGTAGCATAGTGCCTAAGGCACTTGACTGCTAACCAGAAGGCTGGTGGTTCAAACCCACCAGCCACTCCTCAGAAGGAAGGTTGGGCAATCTACTTCCGTAGTGATACCACCTCAGAAACCCAAGGAGGGGTCGCTATGAGTCGGGTCTGACTCGACAGCACATAACAACAACAACACAATGTGTCATATAAGCTTTGCATAGATTATACATGATAGAGTACAGCAGTATCTATGGACCTTAGAATCACAATTTTCACCTTTCCATTTCTTACCTGGCATGATCTGGGTCTGTGTAAGGAACAGTTCTAACACATTCCCCAACATAATTCACTGGGAAAGGAAGCAGAAAATGCGTCTTCATCTGACAAGGTTTGAAAGTAGGGTCCTGAGGAATAAAAAAGGGCCTCATTCAAATGCTTTATCATAAATACAGTCCACAGATGCTAAAATTTTTATTTAATATATGAATACTATTCCCTGTGAAAAGGTACTGATAATTATATCATTCCATACATTTTTTCACTTTAAAACTAAAATTAGGTATTATAATCTTAATGCAGGCTTTAAAATCATGCTGTCGAGTGGTTTCTGACTCACAATGACCCCTCCTTGGGTTTCAAGGCGGTATCACTACAGAAGTAGATTGCCCAACCTTCCTTCCAAGCTATCAGTAACATTTAATTTTACATCATTTATACCAGTAGTTATTTATGCAATCTCATCTTTTTCATTTTTCTCCATGAATATGTTATACTCCTATACTATTGCTACACTCTGTGACAAACCAAACAGATTGCCATAATTATCAAAGTTGAATAAGGAGAAAGAGAGCTCACACTGCTTAAATGAAAGCAAATCTACATTAACTCAAGCTGGGCAGTTATATTAAAGTAAAGGCAAACTGCAAAGTAATGGGAATTAATGAGAATGTGTAACAAATGTCTTTAAGAACACTAGGAAGAACCTATCCAAGAAGAAGCCATCCACTCATCTTTGTTTTAAGAAAGACAACACTCAGGCTGGCAGGATGAAAAGATGTAATTAGCTAGTAATTCTAAGGACATGGCCCAACCCCAGGAATGTCTTAGAGAAGAAACAAAAATCACAATCAACCTTTACATACACAATTGTGAGGTTTACTCTGAAATTATACTAAATTGCATTCACTTACTGTGATTAGCTTCCTTATGATTTGGGAACAATTAACATCAGCACTTTCACTAGATGCATTATGTGCAGGCTTCTGAAAATAAAATATTTCCAAGATAAATGAGAAAAATCCAAAACTCACTTGAAACAGATAAGAAAGTACATTTATAAAATTCACAGAGCCAATAACTACTCTAATAAAGTTAGACTGTTTAAGTCCTTGCACATCACGAAATAAATATATATTATTTTCTTCTTTTGCATTTTCTACTCAAAAAATTTCCTCTAAAACAACAGGATGTATAAAATGAATGCCTCAGAGGGAGGCAGAAAGAAACAGTAAGTCACCTTTTCACATTCTCTCTATTTATAAAATTGGCTAATTAGACAGCATGGGAAGACAGATACACAAATCCACAAATGGAATAAGGGATATAAGAATATAAGATAAAGACATCAAAAATAACTCCTCTGAAAAATCTAGAGATCATCAAGCTGTAGACTGTAAGAATCTATAGTGAGAAGTACAGCTTCTCTACTGATACTCATGTTTGAGAATTAAATTAAAACCCACCTCACAAGTTAATCAAGTGGATGAGATGTTTACTTAATGCAATTATTCTACAGAGAAAGTCATGAAATACTGAGTCACTGAGAAAGGCATTTTATCTATTCTGTGTCCTCTAAAGTCTTACAAACAGTAGTGACACAGACTACATCAGCCATTGTTTTTGGCTATTCTTACACTACTGTATCATAAAGTTTGTTTTTCCCTATTAAGAGACTGCTGCAAACCATAAGTAACAAATAGTGAGCACAGGCTCTAAGGCCAAACTACAGTGTTTGAACTCACTTCTTAACTATGTCAATGGTTGGTAAGTACTTAATCCTCCTCTACCTCAGTTTCTTCACCTGTACAAGGGAGGTAGTAGTACTTATTTACAGAATCGTTTCAAAAACTTAATGAATACATGTAAAAAATTTAGAACTATATTTGGCACATGTTAAATGCTCTGTTACCAACCACAACCAAACTCACTGCCATGGAGCTAGATCCGACTCATAGAGACCCCTTCTTGGGTTTCTGAGGCAGTATCACTACGGTAGATTGCCCCATCTTCCTTCTGAGGAGTGGCTGATGGGCTTGAACCGTCAGCCTTCTTCTGGTTAACAGTCAAATGCCTTGGGCACTGTGCTACCAGAGCTCCTATATGATCTATTAGACCAAAAAACCCAAACCCACTGCCATGGAGTCGATTTTGACTCACAGCAACCCCCACTGGGTTTCTAACACTGCAAATCTTTATGAAAGTAGACTGCCCCATCTTCCTCCTGTGGAGCAGTTGGGGAGTTTAAACCACTGACCTTCTGGCTAGCAGCCAGATGCCTGACCCACTATGCTACCAGTGTGCCTAAGTGCTCTATGAGTACTAGCTACATTTTCATTGCTGTTACCTCAATCACATGTGGACGGACAGGTTTTCGTTCTTTTTTACTTCGCCCAAGGTCTTTAATGAAGCTTTCTACTACTTTTTCCGTCTGAGAAATCTGCTGAGGAGTAGCATTCACTGAACATCTGTTTAAAAAATTATGTATCTCTATAAAATTATTATTATAAAAAATACTATTTTACTACATTATAATTTTTAAAAAAATACAAAAATAAAAGTGAATAATACAGTTTTTGCATAAAACAATGTTCAAAAATGTTAAAAAGAAATAGCCTAGAATGGGAAGAATATATCCATCTGTCTTCTCTAGAGTACTTTTTAGTTACCAGAAAATCTTTCATACATTTCAGTGCATTATACTTAATAAATAGCAGTTTAGATGCAAAGATAAATTTTTTGACTTAGATGCAAAGATAAATTTTTTGACTGTAAATTCTATGCTCTTCTGAAGGGGTGGAGAGAATAACGATACCAAAATCTGTTAATGCATATTATCAGAACACTGAAAGCATAAGAGAAAGCAACCATCTGAAAATATAAACTGATGGTTAAAACAGAAAATTTTAAGTAACCAAAAACTTACCAGGTTCTCAAAAATGTACTTTTATAACTTTTCTAAATTCTACAGAGTCCCAATACTAAAAATATACAGTACATTGACAAAGTGTATCTTTTCCTTCTGTTCTAGATCCTAAGTTTACTTTAGTTAAATTAATGGAAAATACTATTAAATTAATACTAGCTATATTCTAGGCACTGTACTAACTATTTTACATATATTTCTATTAATCCTTACAATGACGTGGAAAGTAGGGCTTTATGGAAAAGGAAACACAAGATTCAAATGGTTAAGTTACCCAAAATAGCTGTATCTGTTAGTTTTAGAACTATTAACCAGGTCTGCCTACAAAAAAACCCTATGCATTGACCACTCTGCTCCACACTTATTACTCATAGAATCTGCTTTGTAAAACGTGACCATCCATATTTTAATTGGGTAAGTTAGAGAAGGTATATAACTCTTCATGCAGAAATATAAGCGATTTAAGGAAACATTTTCTTATTAAGTCTGAGCTAGTACTAAATTAGTATTATTGGTAGTAGGATGCTAAACATACATTGATAAAAATTTTTAAAATTTCATCCCTCCTCAAAAATCTAAGGGCCTAGGGTATGCTGTATGTCTGAGCTGCTAGATGTTTTTCTCAAAATATTGTGTAATTATTATTCTTAGACAAAATTTGTGTTTTCACCTTCATCTTGACGAAGTTATCATTTAACTAGATTCACTGATTCCATTTACAGAACTTTGCTTTTGACTTTGAAAGCAATATAACATTAAATGTTTGCAACCAACCTGCTTTGCAGTTTTAGGATAAAATTAGGTGGCTTTCTCCCTCACCTCCCATAATTTTTCTTAAACTTAAAATATTCTGTTTTTTTTCTTCTACAGAAAGTAATTTCTTAATAAATAGAACATTTGAAGTCTAGAATCAATTCTGTAACCAATGCCAACATCAAGTTTTCCTTTCATTTCAAATAAAAAGCTTCTGAAAACCACACTTACTGAAGTGGAATGAATCATCAGGCTTTTGTGTAGACAAATCATTGAAACCTTACCTCATATTATCACAGTTTAATAAATGTTTCTTGATACGTGGGAGCTTTCTCAGGACTGGTTTGATGTCTGTCATTTCTGCAATTCTCTTCATTAACCTGACCTAAACCAAAGGAATCAAATAATTAGAGGTAGATATCATTGGGCAAAGTAGAAGCCACAGACAGATCTTCACTGTCTGAAAACTGAACACCCCTGGTATCAAGAGTATCACTGACTATGTGATGTGTCTTCATTTGGGACTTGTATGTGTGTGTGTGCAGATGCCCAGTGTAGGGGAGGGTTGGTTTGGGAGTGGTGGTGGTAGATAGCCAAAGGCAAATAAAAAAATTTTCCACTTGAAATTTAGGCAATTAGAAAGTTAGCTTTTCTAGATGTAAATAATTTAGAGAATATTTAAACAACTGGAAGTTGTGACTAAACCAGAATACAAATGTTCCTTCAGAACATTTTCACCTGATCCATTCCATTAAAGGTTTCATGTAGGTCTCCTGCAGGCGTGAGGGTTCTACTAGCTCTAATTGATGCATACAGATGACCAGAATCTGAAATTCCATTGGACAGCTCTTGGGCGCTCATTTTCACTAATACTTTGAAGTGTTCTTCTTCTTCAAAGCACGGACTATGGAAAAAGAAAGTACAACAAAGTCTTGGAGACAGTAATCCATATTCCCTTCTTCCCTTCTTCACTATGAAGGGGGAAAAAAATTATAATATATGCCTAAGGCATCTGACTGCTAACCAGAAGGCTGGCGGAACAAACCCACCAGCCACTCCCCAGAAGGAAGGGTGGACAAGTATCACTTCCGTAGTGATACTACCTCAGAAATCCAAGGAGGGGTTGCTATGAGTCAGGTTTGACTCTACTGCAGTGAGTATATAAAATTAGAAAATCAACAAACAAATGAGTACAATTTTCTACTTTTACAGTATTTTAGACTTAGATTTCTGATACACCCAAGAGTTAACATCTTTTGCAAATAATATTACTTGTTAAATATTTCACTCCACAAATGCATCATGTCTGGTAGATTTCGATCAAGGCAAAGAGATGAAAAAAGCACACCCTAAAAGAAAAACAATACAAAAGAAAGAAGTTAATTTTGCAGTAAATTAAAAAGAAAAAAACACTGGAGAAACAAACTTTTGAATAGAACTGTGATCTAGAAAGAAAATGTTACCTGCTCATAGGTATCTAGATGTGAATCATCAGGGAGCACGTGAGCAGAAACAGTCATTCCTCCTGTTTTCAGTTCAATTTGTTGAGCTTGTTCTCGATAGTTAAGAATGCCACAGCCCAGCCTATTAATAGCAAAGAAATATTTCCTGTATTATCAAGATAATATTTACTATGTCATTTTTTGAATCATGCATTTTGAATTTCAAGTTGCTAAAATTAATTTTATAACCACAGCCTTCACAAACCATTTTTTTTACATTTCGCAAGTTATAAACACAAACACAGTTTTACATCAACCTCTGTAAGACAGTTCACTGCCTCTCTCAAGGTGGAAATCAGTATCTCTTATGCAGGGAATTCCACACAGAACTCTACCAGAGACTCAGGCAACCAGTGACTAGTTCTAAAAATAAAATATCGAAATATACTCTCCCAGTCCTAAGCTTTTAAATATTTTATGAACATTCCCTACTTTTTTCTTCTTCCAAAACATTATGATGCATTTATTTGCTCAAATATCTGGGAGTTCTGGGATGGAAATCTAAAGAATAAGCTTTTGAGGTTTTTAAGAAAAGCTGGTCACCTCAGTGTTGATGCTTCTGGAAAACATTTTAACCAATGCTCCTAGAGTAAGAAATAATTTAAGTCAAGATCACAACTGTGCAGCTTTTCAAAAACTACTATAACCATAAAAGGGAAAGCAGAAGGAGCTATGTTTAAATTTAAAAAAAAAAAAAAAAAGGCAAAGAACTTTCCAAAGGTCAAAGACATTTTTCATCTGATCACATTCTCAGTCAGAAGATCCCACATTTATCTAGCTCTCTACAATGTGCAAATAAATACTTTATTCCCACAATGCAAAGACTGTAACTACATTGGGCAATAGGTCCTATATAGTTTGCTCCAATTGTTTGATTTCCCTTTATTTCCCTGTTCACTGCCTGGAACATAAGAAAATAAAACCTGCACCTACAATTATCTAGTTTAGCCTGCCACCCTCAGTCACTTGAAATGGAGCAGAAGGAAAGGAATTATACAACAGTGTGTGTACTTACTTTGTTGTTGTTGTTGCTGTTATGTGCTGTGGAGTCGGACCCGACTCACAGCGACTCCTCCTTCCGAGGAGGTTTCCAAGACAGTATCACTACGGAAGTGTACTTACTTCTTGTTGTTGTTGTTGTTATTTGCCATCGAGTCAGCCCCGACTCATAGCGACCCCTCCTTGGGTTTCCGCGGCAGTATCACTACGGAAGTAGGATTACCCAACCTTCCTTCCGAGGAGTGGCTGGTGGGTTTGAATCGCCAGCCTTCTGGTTAGCAGTCAAGTGCCTTAGGCACTATGCTACCAGAGCTCCTGTACTTACTAGTGCATGTATTTTCAAATATACTCATAGACATCTATTTATCAAAGAATAGTTGTTGTTAGGTGGCGTCAAGTTGGCTCTGAATCATGGTGATTCTATGTACCACAGAACGAGACACTGACCAGCTGTGCGCCACCCTCACAAGCCTTGTTATACTCGAGCCCATCGTTGCAGCCACTGTGTCAATTCATCTCATTGAGGGTCTTCCTCCTTTCCGCTAATCCTCCACTTTACCAAGCATGATACCTTCTCCAAGGAATGGTCCCTTCTAACAACATGACCAAAGTAGGTGAGACAAAGTCTGGCCATTCTTGCTTCCAAGGAGCATTCTGGCCGTACTTCTTCCAGGACAGATTTGTTCATTCTTCTGGCAGTCCATGGTATTCTCAGTATTCTTCAGCTACACCACAATTCAAATCAACTCTTCTTTGGTCATCCTTATTCATTGTTCAGATTTCACATGCATATGAGACTACTGAAACTACCATGGCTTGAGTTAGGTGCACCTTAGTCTTCAAAGTGACATCTTTGCTCTTCAACACTTTAAAAGAGATCTTTTGCAGCATATTTGCCTCAGTGTAATACTACATCTGATTTCTTGACTGCAGCAGCTTCTATGGGTGTTGATTTTGGATCCAAGTAAAATGACATCCTTGACAACTTCAATCTTTTCTCCATCGTGGTGCTGCTTATTGTTCCAGTTGTGAGGATTTTCGTTTTCTTTATGTTGTGGTATAATCCATACTGCAGAGTGTAGTCTTTAATCTTCATCAGTAAGTGCTTCATATCATCTTTACTTTCAGCAAGCAAGGTTGTGTAGTCGGCATATCACAGGTTGTTCTTCATATAATCCAGATTCTTGGATTATTTGCTCAGCATACAGATTGAGTAAGTATGGAGAAAGGATACAACCCTGATGCACACCATTCCTGATTTTAAACCATGCAGTATCTCCTTGTTCTGTTCAAATCACAGCCTCCTGGTCTATGTACAGGTTCCGCATGAGCACAATGAAATATTCTGGAATTCCCATTCTTCGCAATATTATCAATTTGTTATGATTCACATAGTCAAATACCTTTGCATAGTCAATGAAACACAAGTAAATGTATTTCTAGTATTCTTTGCTTTCAGCCAAGATCCGTCTGTCATCAGCAGTGATATCCCTTGTTCTACATTCTCTTCTGAATCTAGCCTGCAATCCTGGAAGTTCCCCAACAACATACTGCTACAACCATTTTTAATTATCTTCCATGGTCAAAAGAACAATATTATTGTTGTTTTTATGTGCCGCTGAGTCGGACCTGACTCATAGAGACCCCTCCTTGTGTTTCCAAGGCAGTATCACGATGGAAATAGATTGCCCAACCTTCCTTCTGAGGAGTAGCTGGTGGGTTTGAATCACCAGCCTTCTGGTTAGCAGTCAAGTGCCTTAGGTACTATGCTACCAGAGCTCCCTCCCAAAAGAAGAAAAGTGATTACAAACTTAGCTTAGCTGAGAAGCAAACTAAGGAAAGAAGGTATACTACATGATGCTTCAAGGTTAATCTCAGGCCAGCATTTTATATTTACTTTTTTTTATTATTAAAAATACTATTTTTCAAACTCTTAAAAAAATACATAGTTACTGTCTAGAAGTATTACCTTATTCTCTAGATTCATAAATATTTCAATGTAAACACTTTATAGAAAGAGAATAAAATTTTCATAAGAACATAGATTCTATACAAATACAGGCTTTCCTTACACACTGCAACACTGTATGTTCTGAAAAATAAAATGATTCACTGAAGTAATTACTATCAATGCACTACTATCAATGCAATATACATTCAGAAAATATATAATAATAAATTACACAAATAGGTTAACTTATTACATTTGTCTTTATTCATTCCAAACATCAGACTCTTACTTGGTAAGGACACTGCAGAAGAGAGGTACATATGGCTTTAGCTCTTCAGGAAGTGTGTTTAAACTAGAAAAAGCTCTGAAATATACCATACCATTGGTGGGTTGGGCACAGTACTGAACAGGGATTTCTCCAGCTACAAAAACAAAAATAACGATTTTATTACCAGTAAAATTTTAATCATTTTAAAAATTTTTAAATAGTACTACTATTTTTCAAGGAGCTCTGGTAGCATAGTGCCTAAGGCAATTGACTGCTAACCAGAAGGCTGGCAGTTCAAACCCACCAGCCATTCCTCAGAAGGAAGACTGGGCAATCTACTTTCATAGTGATACCACCTTGGAAACCCAAGGAGGGGTCGCTATGAGTCAGGTCCAACTCGACGGCACATAACAACAGCAACACTACTCTTCAAGGTTAAGAGTTTAAATTTTATATTAAAAAGAAAATGCTATTCATTTGCTATATATAAACTGTACTTTTCTATAAACTGTACTTTGTTATGGTAAAATGCTCAGAGTTTTACATCTTAAAGTCATCTCCATTCTTTAAAGAATCAGAAGAAAAGAATAAAATAAAGTTCTTCTGGTTTTATAATTATCCTAGTATTTAAGCTGGTCCTTACCTATCACTATCCACCCTTATGCACATTTACACACACATTTCTCTTTATCAGAGTGGACCACTGATTAAGTTATCCCTACAACAATTTCAAACACCCTAAATGCCACTCATCTTCTCTAGTGAGTCCTCCCCAGGGCTATTAGGTCCCATACATACTACATCTTCAATAAAATGTTCCCCGATAACCTACTTCACACAGCACTGGCTTTTTATATTCCATATTGCTATTCATATTCCATGACTTCAAAGATATTTCTAAGTCTTTCAAGGATAGGTATTGTGTATTATATTTGTATATCCCTAGTACATTGCTCTGAACCAAAAATGTACTAAAATATTTCTTGATGACTGATTTATATTCACTAATTCTTTTAATGAGCATTAATGAGTCATCCATATATAAAAACAGTGAGGAAATTAAAGATACGTGGAACACTGACCTCACTTTCAAGAAGCCTAATGTAGAAGAAAATATTTCATTTACATTCATGCACATATGCTCTCTCTCTCTCAGGTGCTTAGAATTCTGATGTTAAATCAGATGTGGTAAACATGATAAGGAATGTTTGGGAAAAAAAGGCTAGAGTTGCTGCACAAAAACCAAAGTAAATGTTCAAATGTAGTCTAGAACCCATTCTTAGATGGAGGTAGGTTAAAACCTATCACTGTAGTAAGCCTTTCCCCAGGAACAGGTCAATAAAGGAAAGTAATGTCCACATGTAAGTTGAAAATCAACACCTAACAGATTCACAGTATTCTAGGGAGCTATGTGTTTCATATGCTACCAACCAGAAGCCAAGTGAAACCGAGTACCGTTAAGAACTCAAAAACAGTGGCAGACTACAGAATGAAACACTATGATGAAGAGATGAGGATGATAACAGCAATCTGGAACACCCGTTCTATTCTCTGTAACTCATCAGTACCTAAAAAGCATGCTAAATCTATTTCCTATAGTTTCTCTTATATACTTAGAACTGAGTGAAAGAGTTAGTTTGGGTCTATATCCCAAGCTACCCCTTTTAAATACTGCATTTAATACAGCTGCAGCATAACTCAAATCCTCATCTAACTCTAGAAGCAGCAAAGTACAGTTATATCAAATCCACTCATAGGAAACCAAACACAATACTCTTACTGAATAGAGAAGTGTACCACATTCAGTGTTAAACACAATTTATAAGAAATATCAAGAGAGATAGGTTAATAGGGACATGCAAATGTTTCAAGAAAAACATTCAAAATATGACTCTGTGGATACTGATATTTAAACAAAACTTCCAAATCTGTTGCTGTTGATTCTGACTCAGTGACTCTACAAGACCAAGTAGAACTGCCCCATAGAGTTTCCTAGACTATAATCTTTATGGAAGGAGATTGCTTCATCTTTATGGAACTGCTAGTGTGTTCAAACCACCAACCTTTTGGTTAATAGCTGAGTGCTTAACCATTGCACCACCAACAAAACCCAACACACTGCCATCGAGTTGGATCCAGCTCATAGCGACCCCTCCTTGGGTTTTTGAGGTGATATCACTATGGAAGGAGATTGCCCAACCTTCCTTCTGAGGAGTGGCTGGTGGGTTTGAACCGCCAGCCTTCTGGTTAGCAGTCAAATGCCTTGGGCACTACACCACCAGACCTAAAGAAAACTTTTACCCATGGAAATTCCAGGGTTTGTACTGACCTGCAAATGCTACATCCAACTCAGTAAATGGTATGGTAGGCTCAATATCTGAGACTTTTAATGCTGGCAGACAAGAGGCATCTTGAGGTTTACTTTGCTGAGTCCGTAATTCTAAACCTAAAAATAAAAGAGAAATGAATACTCAAGACTGTAATTAGACAGTTTATACAACTCATTTCCTATGTGTTATTCACTTATATAAAGAAACTAGCAATCCACACAAAAACTAACTCAAGACGGATAAAAGACCTAAATGTAAAGCCTAAAACTATGAAGTTCATCAGAGAAAAAACAGGAGCAAAACCAAGGGCCCTAAATGATAGCATAGTAGTCTATAACACATAACCAATAATACAAAAACAACAGAAGATAAACTAGATGACTACAACCTTCTAAAAATTAAATCCTTATGAGCATCAAAACACTTCTCCAAATGAGAACGAGTACTACACAAAACATTGTTCCACTTTCTACTTTGGTGAGTAGTGACTGGGATCTAAAAACCTTGCAAGCGGCCACCTAGATGCAACAATGGGTTTCTCCTCCTCCAGAGCAAAGAAGAATGAAGAAAACCAAAGACGCATGGAACAATTAGTCCAAGTGACCTGTACACCATGCGATCCTCAGCCAATACAACTATGAGACCACAAGAACTAGATGGTGCCCAGCTACCACTGTCAAACACTAGGAGGGAGATTTATGCAGGAGATCCTGGATATAGTGGGAGAAAAATGTGGAACAAAACTCAAAATCATTTAAAAAAAAAAAAAAAGGACTAGGTTTGCTGGTCTGATAGAGCCTGATGGAACCACTGAGATTATGGCCCCTAGCTGTCCTTCAGGTCTGGAATTGAACCCACTCCTGTGGCTTTCAATCAAACAAAAGACAGATGTGTGAGCTGAACATTTACATTAAGTTGAGACACTAGTTGGAGAGAACAATCATGGGTGAATAGAAGGGCTGTGTATGTACAGGGACACAGCTCTGGGGGCAGGAATGCATGGGAAGGAAGGACACAGGGAAGAGGTAACTATGGGGAGGAAGTGAGATGGGAGTTGTTGCACTGTGGGAAATTGCAGTCAATGTCATGAGACAAAATGTATGTAAGCTGCTGTATAGAAAGTGAATTTACTCTGTAAACTTTCACCCAAATCACAATTAAAAAAAAAAAAAAGAAAGAAAAAGACTTCTCCAAAAGGGAATAGAGAACCCACAGATTGGAAAAAAATAAAGGTCTTATCTCTGAAACTTCTATAATATAATAATATAAATGGCACCTAATAACAAGAACAATATAGATTTTAATACCTAAACATCAAAAAGACAAAAAACCCATTTGAAAAATGGGCAAAGGTCAGAACAGATAATTCACCAAAGAAGATATATGAGCAGACAACAAAAAAAAAATGAAGAAAAGCTCATGATCTTTAGCCATTAATGCACTGCCATAGAGTTGGATTCAACTCATAGCTATCCTTCCTTGGGTTTTCAAGGCAATATCACTAGGGAAGTAGATTGTTCAACCTTCCTTCCGAGGAGTGGCTGATAGGTTTGAAATGCCAGCCTTCTGCTTAGCAGTTGCAGTGTAGTAAATTACTTAGTGTGGCTTTTCTAGCCATAAGTCTTTGTAAACTCTGTGGTGCAATCTGCTGTGAACAACTGAGGAGCTCCTGATTGTAAAAGTTATCCACCTGGGGTATCTCTGTTGGGCGCAACACAAAGCAATATTCTGGGAGGTTCCTGCTCTCTCTCTCAGGTGCTTAGAATTCTGATGTTATGATTGGTTAGTTTGGCCACTCTGCCAGAGGCTCAAAAGGAGGCCTCCTAGAGGCTGTCTCTGACTGCTGGTTGAGAAGACGTGCTGCTGAAAGAGATACACGCTCCTTAAAGAGGCACATGCTGCTCGGAAAGAGACGCAAGAGACACGCATTGCTGAGTAAGACACCGAGGGACACTAACTGTTGGGAGAGAGACTGTGAGAGACTGGTAGGAGAAAGACTGTGGGCTGGGAGAGAGACTGAGCGTTTTTCCTGAACTTGAATTGGAGCCTGGTGCTCCCCTAATAAACCCCATAATCTATGAGTTCTGTGTGGCCACTGCAGTGAATTATCGAACCCAGAAGAGAGGTGGTGGGTGCTTTGGGAGGAATGGTTGGTGAAAAGGCTAGAGGGAGGCAGCATGTCTGGCCTTGCAGTAATAGGCCTTGGGCTACTGATGGTGATTCTGTCTTCCTCTTGTGGCATTAGAGAAGGTCAGAACGTATGGCCTCCTTGCCATTTTAGCAGCAGTCAAATGCCTTAGGCACTACACCACCAGAGCTTAGAGTGATGCAAATCAAAACAACAGTGAGATATCATCTCATCCCAGCAAGAATAGCAAAATTCAACAAGATAGAAAACAAATGCTGGTGAGGGTGTGGAACTCTCATACATTGCTGGTGGGGCTGTAAAATGGAAAATTGCATGGAACCTTCCTCAAAAAGTTAGAAACAGAAATTTTATTTGATCCAGCAATCCCACTCCTATGAACATATACTAAAGAAGTGAGAGCTGGGACAGAACAGATATATGCACACCCATGTTCATCACTGCATTATTCACAATAGCAAAGAGATGGAAACAACCTAAGTGCCTGTCAATGGATAACCAAGTATGGTACATACATGCAGTGGAATGCTATGCAACATTGAAGAATAATGAAGAAGCCATAAAACACCTAAGTGGATGAATTTCGAGGACACTAAGCAGAGTGAAATAAGTCTATCACAGGAATACTGTATGAGTCCACTACTATAAAAAGTCAAGGAAAGATTTATACAGAGAAGGAAATTTTGCTGGTTACCAGGGATGGGAGGGCATGAGAAGGAACAATGCTAGCTAAGTAACAGACATAAAAACCAAGTGAAGGGAAAGGCAATATACCAAAAGCAGGTGACCATTACAATATCACTAAGGAAAAGGAAGACACAGAGAGGTGCACAAGGTGTACAAAAAGATAGACACAGGAAAAAATAAGCCACAAGAAGGAAGTGGGAAGAGAGTTCTTACAATTTGAAGATTTCAATTAATGTCATGAAACAAAATATGTATGAACTACTGAATGGAAAACAAATTTGCTCTGTAAACTTTTACCCAAATCACATTTAAAAAATTAAATAACAACAACAAAAAAATCCTATGCCAACTGCTAGGAATAGATTAACACTATTGTTTATACGACACTGCCATTTACAACTAGATTTAGAAGCATTAGTAGTCTGGATTAGTTATTGTTGTTATGTGCCGTCAAGTTTGTCCCGACTCATAGTGACCCCTCCTTGTGCTTGCAAGGCAGTATCACTACGGAAGTAGATTGTTCAACCTTCCTTCTGAGGAGTGGCTGGTGGATTTGAACCACCAGACTTCTGGTTAACAGTCAAGTGCCTTAGGCACTATGTGTACCTGGATCAGTAGGCAGCCCTTTTTCCAATTCTTTTTTTTTTTTTTTTTTTTAATTTTTATTGTGATTTGGGTGATAGTTTATAGAGCAAACTCACTTTCCATACAGCAGCTCACATATATTTTGTCTCATGATATTGACTGCAATTTCCCACAGTGCAACAGCTCAGCTCATATGCCTGTCTTTTGTTTGGCTGGCCTTTTTCCAATTCTTATTTTTCAATTTTAAGAGCAGTTTACAATCACCTCCCCAATTGTTTTACTACATAGACTGTACTTTTTTTTTTTCAGCGTTTTCAAATAATTTCTTGCTGGCTTGCAATTTAATGACTTTTGCTCTTGTTTTCTGCAATTTCATTTGCACCAATCTTAGCAAAATGCTTTTGTAATCACATAAATTTCACAAATTATAGCAATATTTAAAAATGCATTTTTATAGCCTGATTTTCTATTCATATAATCAGAGGTAGGAGTTCCTCTTTCATGAAGCTATTCCACAGAATTACAGTCTATGAGATGAGAGAATCCAAAAGTCTTCCAGCATTTTTTAAGGTTAGAACAGAATGGTGTATATGTAAAAAAAAAGACTTTCATAGTTTAAAATTCTGTCAAATATAAAAATGCATATTTCACATACATGATTTGTAGGGGATTACTATATCAATTTTAGTATTTTAATTCAAACTCATGATAAAGAATATTCATGTCTGATATGATGACCTTGAAAGCAAGAACTGTTAGCTTCACTAATCTTCCATTTCCACTTTTTTTTTTTTTAAAGTTTCTATCACAATAGTTTCTTGAGCGCAAGTTATCAAGTAATTGTCCACTTAGAGACAGGAATTCAAAGTATGAGGTAACTATGGGGTTCATGGACAGCAAATTTCTCATGTCATATATCCACTCTGTGCCCCACAGGAAAGTGAAAGCTGAAAGCACCCTGACTTCTTCAGATGTACACTCTGGATCACCTATTTCCATGTCCGACTAATTGTTGTCCCTATATCTCTTGGCCTTCAGTGAAAAGATGTTACCTACACTATGTTGTTGTTGTTGTTACGTGCCATCAAGTCGCTCCCGACTCATAATGACCCCTCCTTGGGTTTCCGAGGCGGTATCACTGCGGAAGTAGATTGCCCAACCTTCCTTCTGAGGAGTGGCTGGTGGGTTTGAACCACCAGACTTCTAGTTAGCAGTTAAGTACCTTAGCCACTATGCTACCAGAGCTCCTACACTATAATCCTCTTAAATGGAGGCTATTTAGTTTTCCTACGTCATACAGCTCAGAAAGAGTAGGGAGGCGTAGGATCTTCTTACCCAACATCACCACTCCTCAATAACTTCTCCTCTAGGCTCAGGCAAGAAACTTGTGTTGAGACTCTGCCATTTGGCTGTACAACCCTTCCACACTCCTCATTACTGTCATTTGAAAATCTCCTACTACACTCTCCGTCTTTTACAGGAGGCTTTGATATTCCTCTCCACACACCAAATCTTGAGTGACTAATTATCCATGAGATCATCTCATCTAAAGATACTGAGGTAAAAGCAATAATAACCTGCACTAAACTGTAACGAATCAAAGATGTTTGTTGTACTTTCTAGGATAACCACTAGAAGAGTAATTAAAGGATGTATTACTAATGAGTTAATAGAAGGCGAAATGAAATAACAAAATAA